TTCATACTTCGGCTCCTCCGTGGCTTATCTAGGCGACGTGGACGGAAATGGTGTCGGAGACATTGCCGTGGGCGCGTATGGAGAGGACACATTGGCCGGCGTTGTCTACATTCTCTTTCTGCAAAACTCTGCCGCCGTTCCCGTCGTAGGCTGGTACAAATTACGCGCTCAAACACCGGGGTTTCCCTTTGCTCTGGCCCCCAACGATGCCTTTGGAGCCTCCGTTGCAGGCATAGGAGATTTGAATGGAGACGGCGTCCCCGACATGGCCGTGGGGGCATATATGGACTCGGAGTACCAGCCAGGGTGCGGCGCTGTGTACGTTATCTTGCTGCAGCGGCCACTCGGGGGTCGAGAAGCGGTAGGGGGGTTGGCCGGTGGGGGCATGGTTCCGGCGGACGGCAGTCCTGTCAAAGGGTCGAGCAAAATTACCCCGGGCAAGCACGGTTTCGGGGATACGAGTCTGCAGGCGAATGCCTATTTCGGGGCCTCCATGGCTGGCTTCCATGACTTGGATATGGACGGAGTGCCCGAACTGGTGGTAGGTACCATCGGTGACAGTCGTGCCAACCCAAACGCAGGTTCTGTTCACCTCCTATTTTTGGGCCTGAATTCGACGGAGGACGGCTTGCCGATGGTCCGGGAGTGGCGGAAGATCACCACGGGTCTCGAAGGGTTCGAGAGCCAGCTGCCAGCCAACACGAATTTCGGGGCAGCCCTGGCGGAGCTCCCGGATTTGAACGGAGACAATGAGACAGAACTGGCGATCGGATGCTATGTGGCCTCCAACGCCAGTGTGTACATCGTGTACAAAAACTCGTTGACTTCGGTGATGGAGAGCCCGCCACAAATCTACCTAGTGTCTCCCGCCCTCCTCGACACTCAGGGGGGGGAGGTTGTGTCCATGGCCCTCTCTTTGGACGTGACGACCGTCGACCTCTCCCAACCCTACGAGCTGGAAGCCTTTGTCGGCCTGTCCCCCTGCCTGAACCCGGTTTTGCTGCCTTACGGAGACGCCACCGCCCTGGCCCGGGCTCAGAAGGATGCCAGAGCCCCGGGCGTGGTAGCGGCCGCTGTGAGTGCCCAAGGTGGTGTAGCTGCCATCCCTTTCGCTGTCCAGCCGGGCGCGGTCCAGGATCTGGCAACGAGTGAAACGGATATGCCTGTTCATCCCTCCTTGGCCCTGATGCCCTTTCCTGCAGTGTTGGCCTCCGAGACCCAACGGCCTTTTCTCCTCACTTGCGTGAGCACGGCCGGGGTCGGAGCTCATGTGCTTGCACAGGCAACTATATCACAAGGAGGGGCAGACATGCCCGTATCTATGGCAAACGCGGCCTCCTACACACCTCCTGTGGTCAGCAGCATCGAGACGACAGGGACCATGGCCCGGGGAGGCTTTGACCTGCGGATCCTGGGTCGGCATTTCGGCGCCGACGATTTCGAGCCGTTGGTCCTCATACAGGACACACCGTGCCAGGCAGTGGTATGGGTGTCTGACTCCGAGGTAGTCTGCCGCGGCGTTCCCCCGGGACTCGGGGAGGCTCAAGTCCAAGTCTCTGTGGGTGGACAAACCAGCAAACCGAGTCCGACGGCGGCCTTCGTCTACGACTCCCCCCTCCTGAAATCTTGGAACGTGACCGAGCCGATGCGGGTCTCGCTACCGGTCTTCGGCGGGTACAGTGTGGACCTGCCCTTCTCGCCCTACACGGGCGGCAAGGAGGAGTTGAGTTTGTGGGGAAGCAATTTTGGCCCGGCAGGCACGTTGACACAAGTGCAGCTGGGGCCGTGGGAATGTGCCGACGCCCGGGTAATTGCCGACGACTTGATCACCTGCGTCACCCCGCCAGGCGTGGGCAAGAATCTGACGATCATTGTGAGCCTCGGCGGTTTCGAGGTGAGCTTATCCCCGGGCTTCACGTACGCGGCCCCTCTACTGGTCACCGTTGTTCCTGACACGGCGAACACAGGAGGCGGGGACCTGGTCGTCATGGGCCGCAACTTTGGGCACACCTCGGAGGGTCTCCAGGTCTCGATAGGGGGGGAGGCCTGTCGGGAGGTGAAAATGGTCTACGAACACCAACTGATCACGTGCAAGTACCCACCGGGGACGGGGAAGGGTCTTCCGATGCTGGTGACTGTGTCGGACCAATCCAACTCCCCCCCCCGCGCCTTCAACTACGCGGATTCCTACGGACAACGGACGGTGGAAGCCGTTTTCTTCCTGTTTGGCGAGAGCCTGGAGAGCTTTGGGTCGAACAAACAGGCCGTCTTCGAGCAAGTGCTGCTCCGGGCTATGGAATATGACCCTACCCTCAGCATCGCCGACGAAGCTGTGCACGTTTGCAATGTCACCAGCCTGGCTGGTCTCACCGCATCCACGGTCCAATCCTGGAACGTGAGCTTTCAAGGGCGGGCCTATGCCCCAAATCCAAGCAAACAAGCCGTCTCCATCGACGTCGACGCCGAAATGGGTACCCTCTGGGATCAAGGCAAAGAGGAAGACCGCCGGCGGGCAGACACGGACGTGGACAAGATCCTCATGGAGACGCCATTAGCCCCTAGTAATGCAGCTCGTCATCCGTCAGAGGACGTGTACCAAGAGGATTCGATCCTGGTCTCTGTGGACGTCACGGCCGCCAACGCTAAGATTGGTTCTGCGATTCAAACGTGGCTGATGACACCGGAGAAGCAGGCCCTGCTCCGTGACTACTTGAACACGAAAGACACGGGCTTGCGGGTGATGGAGTTGCAAGTGATTGCAGCCAGCATGACGAACGACTTGTACTGCCCCCCCGGTCAGCAGCAGCAAGACATTGGGAGCAATGGGGAGAAAGCATGCTTCCTGTGCCCGCTCGGCTCTTATCAACCGCTGCGTTCAAAGAGGCCCTGTCAACCCTGCCCGCTTGGCACCGACTGTCTGCAGCAGGGTGTTTTCCTGCCGGTGCCCCTCCCAGGGTATTGGCGACAGGCGTTGTCCGAATCTGAGGCCATCCGCACTGACCCATATTTCAGCACCTATCGCATCTACGAATGTAACCCCAAGTCGGTGTGCTTGGGAGGGATCTACTCCAATTGCACGGAGGGACACTTGCAAGGCGGACCCCTGTGCGCAATTTGTGAGGACGGGTTCTATGGGGACGGGGGTGGGGCTTGCAACCCTTGCGGCTCCAAGAGAATGATCCAAACGCTGGTCGCCTCTGTAGTGTTGGGGGCTTTCTTGGCCTTTAGCATCGTACTCTACTTTTTTGTCCGCCCCGGTACGGACATTGATGAGGCCGTGAAAAGCGTCCAAGATTCATTTCTGGAGGGACCAGGAGGTCGGTCCTTCTCCCGCGATTTGAACATGAGCTACTTCCTGAGCAACTCTCTTTCGCGCCACCTGGCTTCGCGGCTGTCCGACTTGACCGACCTCCCGGACATTTGGAGCAAAGCCAAGATCTCCATAACCTTTTTTCAAATTTTGGCCTCCCTTAACGTCGCCTACACGGTGCCTTGGCCGCAAGAATTTCGACAATTTTTGCACATGCTCAGTTTTTTAAATCTTAATATATTGAATCTACCGGGTATGGCGTATTCGTGCGTCCAGCCTGTGGACTATTTCGCGGAATTTATGGTTGCGGTGACCCTACCTTTCCTTCTCACCCTCGTGCTTCTCGTCCTCTACGCCGTGGGCCTCCGGCGCATCCACAAGAAGGTCTCGAGCAACATCGATGTGGTCAAAGCCTTGGAGGCGCAATCGGCACGAATGAAACACCAACTCATCCGGAAGATGCGCGCGATCTCGGTCCGAATGTTGAGACGGCGGCCTCTTCGTCGCCCTGTGGCCACCAACTCCTTGCTCTCGACGGCCCTGGCCGCCTCCGCCGCCGCCATCCCCTTCCCTGGGAAAAAAAACGGAGCCCCCACAATCAGTCTCGACCGCACGGAAGGTACGACAGTCAAAATGCCATTGGGGACGCGTGTCGTCGCTACAGCCTCGGACCCTCCAAGGGACATGAAGAGGGACGCCGCGGTGCTCACGTGGAGGTCGTCTTCCATCCCCACCATCGAGGAAGAATCCGGGGAAGTCGTTTCCCCGCCGAGCGCCCCCTCCTCCCCGCCGACTGCAGAAGGCCATGACCCTGGCACGGCTTTCCCTCCTCCCTCTTCAACATCCCTGGTCTCTCACACCTCGGCCCCCGTCCTGGATGACTGGGCTTCGGTCATGCCCCACCACGCGGCAGTCCCCTCCCGCCCACCTTCACCCGCAGCCACCAGCTATGCCCCCTCCCATCCACACACGGACGTGCTCCAACCACGTCTTTCGTCCCCGCCCGGGCGCCTCCCCCTCCCTCAGCCGGCCGCCTCTCGGTTTTCTCCTCCCCCTCCGTCCCGCACGACCCCCCCTCTTATTGCAGAGCCCTCTCAGTCCTCGCCCCCCCCGGCGCCTTCTTCCTCGTTCGCGCCACACCGCCCGCACCACGCTGCACAGCTCCCTCCCTTCGACATAAGCGTCCCGTCTTACCCTCTATCGCATGCCCTTCCTCCTCAAGCCTCCCCCGCGGTCTGCTCTGCCGTCATCGACATCTTTTCACCTCGTCCGTCGTCAGACGAAGGCGAGAAAGACAGAATCCTGCCCGACATCCCGTTCCCTTCCGCCCCCGCCTTTCCCTCAGACTCGTCACTGACCTCCCTATCCTCTCGGCCGTTGCCGACGCTGCCGCCGCCGCAGCAACAGCAACAACAGTTCCAACAACAGCTGCAGAAGGCACACAAAAGAGCCACGTTTAGCGAGCGGGTGACGTCCTCCTCGGGCGAGATCGTGACAATAAGCTCTGAGAAGAGCCACAGCGTGGTCGGGCCGAGAGAGAATGCGGCCGGGGCTGCGGGTGGAGTGGAAAGGAAGGGAGAAACGGCAGTAGACGGGGCCAAGGGTGCAGGTACCCAAGCGAGTCACGCGCGAACCGAGGGGCCGACGCTGCAAAGCTTCGAGTCCACCGGCGACGACGACGAGGACGAATCGATTTTGGAAATCAAGCACAAATTGACCCTGTTGGAAAAACAGGAGAACGTGGAGCGATTTTCCGTGGAACGCTACACGTCTCGGATGATCACCTTCTGGTTCTGGATCATTCTCCTCATCTACCCGGCCGTCTCGCGCGTGGTCCTCGGTGCGGTTAACTGCCGTACCCTCGACAACGGGCGCCGGTACCTGGTGTCGGACTTCACCATCGATTGCCGATCCCGCTATTACTTGCGGTACATGCCCCTGATTGTCCTCGCCCTGGCCGTTTACCCCGTGGGGATCCCGGTCATGTTCTTCCTCCTTTTGAAGTACCGAAGGAACGTCCACCCCTGGGACGAGAACCTCTCCTTCCTGTACAAGACCTACCGACGCCGTTACTGGTGGTTCGAGATCTACGAGCTACTGCGCAAGCTTTTTTTGACGGGATTGATCATTTTCATCGCAGCCGGGACCGCGACCCAGCTGGCCATCGCGTGTCTGGTCTGTGCCGTGACAATGTGCCTGCACCTGCGGCTCCAGCCCTACGAGGAGCAGAGCGACGACAGCTTGCAAGGATTTGCCCTGGCCGAGATCCTCCTAGTCACCTACTGTGCCCTCTTGCTGAAGCTGGACGTGACGGGCGACGATGAAAACCACCTGCATGTCTTCGACGTCCTCCTCCTCTCCACCAACGCCGTCGTGGTCTTCGGGATCATGCCCGCAGCCTTCTACGTCCAGGGCCGCCAGTATTATGACCGTTTTCGCGCCCACCTCTCCCTCTCTTTGCCTTCCCGGATGGTGCGAGCTGCTGCCCACCGTCTTCTTGTCTCCCTCTGCCTCCTCCTGACCCTCTTCCCGGCCATCTCGAATTTCTCCTCCCCCCTGCTCACCTTCAAGCTCACGTTCTTCGTCGCCGCCATGCTTTTTTACAACACCTTGCTCTTTCTCTACTTCCTCCCGTGGTCGCACGTCAGGTTTTTCCCTCCACGTTACCGCATCATCGCCGTCCTGGCCCCTCAGAACTGCCACCTGGAGGAGGCGACCAAAAGGGGCGGGTGGAGCGGCCTTCCCATGGGCAGGGAAGGCCGCGGCCTCAGCGAAAGTATGCAAGGCAAGGGCAATTTTTCCAAATTGAATGCGCGAAAATTGGAAGCCATCGAGGCGGCGGGTTTGTCCATGGCCCAGCT